AGTGTCCATAGACTTCATGGACACGCAAGTCAAGAGCAGACATGGTAAGAGCCAAGTCATGGTCATAGTCGACCGTTTTAGTAAGTATGCAGTTTTTGTCCCTTTGCCTGTAGAGGCACGTACAGATTTAGTAATACAGAAGTTCTTTGAGTTTTGGGTTAGTGAGAATGGAATCCCATTGTCAATAGTTAGTGATAGAGATAGTCGTTTCACCAGCCAGAAGTGGTAAGAACTCGTGAGAGTCTACGGATCTAAGTTGTTAATGTCGTCCGGCCGTCACCCAGAGACTAACGCTCAGACAGAACAGATGAACAAGATCCTACAGCAAGTTTTGCGCATGTATATTAGACCAGATCAGATCAACTGGGATGAGATCTTGCCCAAGGTCGCTAGTGCGTACAACAACAGCGTGCACCTATCCACCTGCTGCACTCCCAATGAGTTGCACAAGTTCTTTAGACCGCGCAGACCGTTCGAAGGACTGAACCGGGATCAGATTCACAGATTACCGCCCGGTACCAGGGAGTTTGCGATACAGCACGAAAAGGAATTAGCCACTGTTGTTGAGAACCTTCGGAAGGCCCAGCACAGAATGATAGAACAGGCTAACAAGCACCGATGCCCATCACAGTTTCAGGTGGGTGACTTAGTCTGGGTCAAAGCAAAAGAGTTTGCACCGGAAGAGAACCTCTCGCAAAAGTTACTGCCTGCATATAGAGGACCGTGGCCGGTTCTAGAAGTCAAGGGCGGAGAGGATGGACCGTCCTACAGCATTGAGATTCCAGCACACCTCCACACATACCCTGTGTTCCATGCTTCGAAGCCGCTGCCGTGTGTCACTAGTCAACAGTTCCCTTCCAGGAGATCCATGATCCCACCGGATATGGATGGGAGTTGGGCATTGTAGAAGAGGATGTGTTTAGGACAGGAGGTAGAGGTCGTCCCCAGAAACAGTATAAAGTCCGGTTTGCCTATCAGGAACTGGAAGAGGACCGTTGGTTCACGAAAGCAGAACTTCTAGAAACTGCTCCCGACATAGTCAGAGCCTATGAGCGTGACAAGAAAGGTAAAGGTCCCGCCTTGGACTGAAATTTTCTCGGAGGACCTCGAATTTAGGACGGCGGGAGTGAAACGGTTTTCACCTTTTAGCAGTAGCGGATGCAGTACCCAGGGTTCGATCCCTAGACCTCACCCTACCCATGTACAGTATCTGTGTAGACCCCGGAATTGAACCTGTGACCTGTGTATTCGTAGGCAGTTTGGCAGGCCTGTCGTAGGTCCATAGGCAGCAGGGGTTCGATCTGTAGGTCTATAGCGTAGGAGTCTTAGTGAGTTCCGGAAGCTTAGCTGTAGACCTTCTAGAAGGTAGGCAAGTGGTCAAGTGGTGAGGCAAGTGGTGGACTAAACCGCAGTGCACTAGCAGTACAACGTCGGTAGGATAGTGGTGAGTCCACAGTCAGTCAGCAGAAGGTCCAGTCAGTCCCAGTCCGGTCCAGCAAGTACCACAGGGGGACTCTGAGCACCAAGGGCCGATGGCAAAGGGCAGACCAACGAGTTTCTGAAGTATAAATCAAGAGGCAGCGCCCAGCCATTCATTCATTCCTGCGTGAGCCATG